GAGAGGCTGCCCCCCTTGGCTATGCCCATGATCTCTGAAGTTTGCCTTCACCAAACTACAAATTACAAATTTATTTTAGGAATGTCATGGGAATTAAACTGAATAAACCAATATAGGTTTTAGGATTTATAGTTTGGATTCATCCCCTGGACCTCAGAGACCCCACCTTCTGTCCCTGCAATTTGATTTGGAGACCATATTCTCAAATGTATGGCAACACTAGAAACATTCTAAACCCATTGCCCTGCTATGCTTTACGGCAGAACAGCAGAACCGTTGCTCTTTTGTGAATTTTTTAAAAAAGAAGTGTCTCCTACAACATCTGCTTGCAAAACATCAGATATGAGCTATCTAGCTGTTAAGATTTAGCAACAATTTGTTCTTATTCATATACAAAGTATCTGAGGGTTTGTTAAGAGTTCTGATCTAGTACTTCCTGTTCCACGCAAATCTTATTCCAGGGGGCTGAGTTTGAAATGAAAAAGTTGAAGGTTGCCAGGGAAGTGGGTAGCAGATGCAGATTTTAATCAAAAGCTGCTCTTTCAGAGTACTAATTGGCCTGCAAAAAAGCTTGAGAGGTGTTGTTGCATTGCTTCCACTCGGCTAGGGCTTTGTTGCACCTGTGTCCATAGAAATGAAAAAGTATTTTACTTTTAGAGATGGGAAACCAGTCACTGAGAATGGTTTCTCTCTCCTTTTTCTTCTTTGAAGCTGGCACCTACCAGCTTCAAGCTGGTCCTACCAAGATGATGCTCATGGCAGAGTATAATGAGATCATGATGAGATAAGAGGGAAAGAGGAAGGTTTGAATCTATGCATAACTAAGGTTGTCTAGGGCTTCATACATTAAACCAGGGATCAGTGTGTTGGGCACAATTCAAAGGATGGTTTAATGCCAGAGTGCTCTCAATATGTTGCGGAACTCCAACTCCCATCAGCCCCAGGAAGCTTGACCAATGGTCAAAGGATCTCAAGGATGATGGAAGTTGTAGTCCAACATCTGGACAGCACCATGCTGGCTACCCCTCAATTAAACCACATTTGGTGTGTGCCCAGCACATTCATATAACTTTGCTGGTCTAAAGCTATCCCAGTGATTCCCATGCACTTAAGAAAGGGGCTGCTGCTGCTGCATTCCGCACCAAGTTTCTATGCAGTCCTCAGAGGCAGCTGTAATCAATTATCTGCAACCAACAGAGGAGCAATCTGAGTGCTGCAGTAATTTATTAACTACAACCAGATGAGCAGTTTTGAGTGTTATATTTATTTTCACTAATCACAATGCAAGCTCTATCAGCAACATCTTAAGACAGGAGACACATGGTAATTTTTAGAGAGCTGAAAGAGTTGGTTTGAAGAAGGATTTGCTGCTCATGAAAATATTTATCACCCCACTTTTGCATCTGTTCAACTGGCTTTTCAGTATTTGGACTGTTTCAGTAACCTGTAAAAAGGTTGTACACAATGGGAAGAAATGGGTGTACACAGCATGCGAAGTAAAGTCTCCCTCCTAAAAAACTTTTTCCTAAAAAATATTGTTTTCTGTTATCAGCCTTATACATAGCTCAGCTAATGTGTCTCTTATTCCACATTTACAGATCTCTTTGAATTTCTTATCCTTTCTCACTTCAGGCTGTCAGTTTGCACAGTACTTTTTGTGACTTGGAGATAGCCTTGCTGGAATCATAGGTAGAACTCTACTAAATTAAATTTCCTTTGTGATCTCATCAGAATTTTGGCAGAGAATAACAAGTCCATCAACCCTCAGGGCCTGCCAATTGAATCACCATCACCCCATAAACAAAACTGCGATCTCCCTTGCTCTCCTTGCTGGGGAAGGGGAAATCTGTGTTCAGATGTTTGTGTTTGCTCCAGTTTGTTTTTATTCCAAAAAATAAAGAGCCTGTCTGTTATAATGCAGATGTTGCTGGCCATAAACACACAAAATGAAAGAGGAGAGAAGGCACCTTAAAAAGAAGTGATATCCTTCTGATGACAACGGCTTTTCAAATTTACTGTAAGTTGCTAGAAGAGTTCCAGACTTTGTGAAAGTTAATGCAAGAGCAAGACTGCAGGGGGAGCAATAAAATCCGTTTGTGCAGACATACTCCATTCCCTCCTTTTTTCATCTATTGTCAGGGCTTTAATCAACCTGGAATCAACTCCACACCTTCTTAAGTTACTTAAGTTTAACTTGGTAGGCTTCTCACCTTCTTTTTAGTAATGAAATGAGTCCAACGACAACTTTTGAGCCTGAATGATGTGATCACAAAATCAGGGACACATATTTACTATCCTAGAGCTGCTTTATGCTGAATTGAATCCTCTTAACTTTGGTGCTGTCAACTTTACTGACCTCTGTCTTGTATTGAGGCCATTCCAACTCTACTGCCTGGGAATATTTAGCATGCTAGATGGTTTGAGGCCATTGTTTTATATGCAAAGCATATCTTATGTAGAGCCAAGCCAAAATCTATCAAAGGGCCATCCCCCCCCCCCCCGCAACTCCTCTGAGATTTTTCTTTTTATCACATACCTGGAATAAGATCACTTTGCGGATTTCCCCCAATTATTTTCCAACAATTTTATGTGCATGCCAACCACTATTTCTCTCCTATGATGCCTTGAAATAACACCAGCTCCCAGACATAATGAGGGATACAATATGGTGGCCAACAGTTGTCAACAGACTTGTTGCTGTTGCAGCTGCAACACCTGTCCTGCCAAACCTTCAGGGACAAAAGGAGCTGTGCTACTGCCATTGCTAACGGTGAACCCCAACCATGAGAAACTGTTCAAGAATTTCTCCTTCCCCTTTGGTTCCCCTTTCCTAATTTCTCTGGCCAAAAATAAGGAGGATAATTTAAAGAGAACATTGGTGTACACCTCTGGTGCTCAGCCCATGAGTTTTGAAGCCTCCCTACCACTGCACACCTTTGGTACATCTTTTGTGCAGCAAGATCAGATGACATCTTGGACAACAGCAAGTAATAAAGACTGCTATCAAGTCCAGTGATGCGGTTCATAGATCCGTCAAGGTTTAAATGCAGACATAACAGTTTTTGTACTTGCTCCAAGCAGTAAGAAAAGCTGGAGGGGGAAGACATTGCTTTTGTTAGGAAAAGTCAGTGGCTTGGGTGAACATCAAAAGAGCACTGATTTATTCTTCTGAGCAGGTGATTATTAAGCATGAATTGATGACAAAGCTTCCTGGCACAATGAGGCCAGCTTTCCTGACAAATGCATAAACAGTGGAATGAAGCAGACAAGGAAGGAGAAAAGGCTGGCTGGTAGTTTACAGAAGGCCAGATTATTTTGGCACCTTTAGGTCAACTGTGGGCATAATATACAACCACCAGTGGCTGCTATTTGACAGCTGAATATGGCCAAATGATGACCTGTCATCAAGCTATTGGTTACTGCTTGTGCTCATGTGGTTTTTGTTACTGTTTGGATATGGTATGGTTATATACCTGAGAAGTTGCAATACATCAACTGTTCATTAGTCACTCCAGAAGATCAAAGAACTGTAGAATTACAGTGGTACCTCGGGTTACATACGCTTCAGGTTACACACTCCGCTAACCCAGAAATAGTGCTTCAGGTTAAGAACTTTGCTTCAGGATAAGAACAGAAATCGTGCTCCGGTGGCGCAGCAGCAGCAGGAGGCCCCATTAGCTAAAGTGGTGCTTCAGGTTAAGAACAGTTTCAGGTTAAGAACGGACCTCCAGAACGAATTAAGTACTTAACCCGAGGTACCACTGTATTTGATTTATATCCTACCTGTCCTCCCAGAGGAGCCCAGAGCAGCACAGATTATAGACACAGAATACACATTTATCTTTCAAAAGGCGACTTTTCACCACAGGTGAAAGAACAGTTTTGGGCAAGTGGGACAGGGGATTCTGATCAGGAAAATGGCACTGAAGAAAGCGGGGACCCTGATATGCTATGAGGCTTCCCACAGGTGCTTTCAGGCTTGGGGGGAAAAGCCACGGAAGATCTAATTGCAGGTCCGCCCAATGTCTCAACCAAATAAATTGTCAACTGTTAGGAACAGCATTGCTACTTTTTTTTCTGGTAGGGCTCCTCTGTCTTCTACAGTTGCAAGCTAGAAAATAATCAAATTTCATGGCTGGATATTAGCCAATATCATTTCTTACAACAATATAAATTAAAAATGGAGCTACAAGGAAATTAACAAAGTGCTAAGAGATGGTATGATGACTAAAGCAGTGGTTCTCAATTAGCTAAGTACTGCAGACCCCTTGTTTTTCAAAAGCCAAGCCATGGATCCCCTACTTTTGCAAATTTTGTTATCTCTATGGTAGTTTTTGTTATGTGAATGGTGCCAGAGACCCCCTGAGTGGGTTGCACAGCCCCCCCCTGGTGTTAGCAGACCACCAGTTGGGAACCGCTGGACTAAGGCATTCATTTCCCTTTTATACAAAACCCTTATGGAGAATCAATCCTCCTCCCAACAAAGTCTAAAAAGCTGGTGGGAACTTAATGGGGATATAAACATTTAAGAGGATAAATGGAACAATTTATGGACAAAAGCACCATATAAATCTCTGTCAGCAACTACTAGGGAACATTCACTAAAAATTGTGCATGGACGGTATTTAACACTGAGGCCCCTATGTTATATAAAGCCCAGTAGCTCTCTGTTACATTGCAGAGGATGCCAAGTTATAGGTACATACCATCATATGTGGTGGGAATGTCCACAAATACTGGAAGGAATTTTTAAAAGAGATATCTCAGATTACAGCTCAGACAATCCCAATAACCCTGGTATTGGCCATCCTTAATTTATATACTTCAAATATGGACCAATTAAGAAGTAAGAAATTAGAATGGTAAAATCCAGAACTTGGAAAACATTGCAATTAATGAATATTGATCACTGGTATAAAATAGTCTGGCAAAAAGCCATAACGGAAAAGCTGTAGCAAAAATTGAAGGTGGCAAGGTCTTCTGCATTGCAGAAATGTGCAACTGTCCTGTATGGAGATCAAACCTACAACCTTGGCGTTATCAGCACCATGCTCTAACCAACTGAGCTAAGAATGAGAAATACCTACAGCATATATTGCAACAAGGCATAGATAAGCAGGCACTACTCATTATCTCACTCCTATTACTTTGTGTTTTCGAAGTTGATTTATTGAAGAATTCATTTATTGTAATCACCTCATTGGTTTACTGTAATCACCTCATTATTATGTTCTGTAAAATAATATGTGTAGCATTTTACCTCCCTAGTGATCCATTTTTGTAAGTCATGTTATGTTTTATAATTTATAGGTGTGCAATTTTGTAACAAGAAAAATATATATACTGTTACATGGGAGGCAGACATTTCTCCCATGACAGGTGGTGGACTCTCCTTCCTTGGAGGTTTATAAACAGAGGTTGGATGGCCACCTCCCATGGATGCTTTAGCATTGCAGGGGCTTGAACTAGATGACCCTTGGGTCGCTTCCAACTCTAAGATTCTATTATTCTATTAACAGATTCAGACCTTCTCTCTATTGTACCTTCCTGCTTGGAAAAACTTCACCAGTGGAGTTTCTGCCTGTCACAATCTGATTAAAAAACACCAGAAAAAGTGGGTAGGCATTCACCACTGGTCATGTGTTACAGAGCCACAATAACTCTTGAGGCATCACCACCACGCGTAAATCAGGTGGCTTAAATTTTTGCTATGAGTTTACAACACTTTTTTTTAAAAAAACCCATTAGCTGCATCAGTTTTATAACCCTGCTGGCTACAGAGTCCAGCCAAAATGGTTAGATTATATTTGGATCTCAAAGTTGCCCAGCTATTTGCTTATCTATCCCAAGTATGAACGGAAAACAGAAGTGTATTCACATTCTCTTTCTGCCGACCCATTTCACAGAACTGCCTCAAACTGCAGAAACTGGGGTTGTCTATAGAGCTTCCAGTTCAAAACACACCCCAGAGCAGTGAATAAGTGAATGCGTTTACTAAAAAAAGGGGGGGTAGTCCTTCTTCACCATTATCTTTTCTTAAAACATTATGAACAAAAGGAACAATGACTGGACCCAACAAAGTTTCAGTTCAGGCTCCATTCCAAGGAGAGCCGCTTCTTCCATTTATAGCTATGTTGACTCCGGGCTCTGTTGCAACATCCCAAGTCTAGGAAATAAACTGTGACTATGTGTGTGGCTTTAAAGGACGGGTAAAGAAGAATAAGAACAAAAAAAGCAAACTGGCCAATTGTCAAATTATCTTGTCTGCTCACAAGGAGGTTTGATGTTCTGAAAAACACAAAGCTATCTTTGTGCAATCTTAATCCAGTGCCTTAACTCCTTCTCCGTGATTTATTGGGGTGGCATGTTAGCAGCCTCTTCCCATATCACGTGCTGGTCAACAGAATAAGAGAAACGTTATGCTGAGGCAGAACCAGGTCTCTATAAATAGTTTTAGGACACAGTGATCCAACGGAGACAAGCCCATGCCTATTTTGTTTCTTGTAAACTGTGAAAGTATTTATTGGCTGAGCAGCGGAGCCTCACCTACGGATACCAAGCTGCAATCCCTTATTCACTCAAAACAAAACAAAATAAAGAACATTCTCTCTTTTTAACTCAAGGGATCTGATCATTTGTAGACAGCCTACAGAATGCATGGCCAGAGGTACCACTTCTTTGCCAGAGTTGCAGCGCTTTGGGAACTGGAGGTCTCCAGTGAACATATAGCCATCTACTACAATCAAGCAGAAACCATAAGTCCACCATCCTATGCTTCACTTTCAGGAAGGGCCATACATTGTGCCATAGCGGAAAGACCTGCTCCCTGCCTTGCAGGCCTTTTCCACCTGGCCTGGGAGGGTGGGGCCCTCACTGACTGCAGCTACAAAAACAGAGGCTGCTGAATAGACTCTTGCTGGGTTTTTTGTATCTTTATTTTAGATTGTGATGTGATTTAAGTGGAAACTGTTCGGTTTGGATGTGTATTTTTTGAGGGTTTATTTATTGTTTATGACTACTTGTGTTACACTGCAGTTACGTATTATTTTCATCTTGTGAGCTACATGGAGCATAGTTTGAACTGTGGAAAGATGGCATACAAATAAAATTATGTATGTATGTATGTATGTATGTATGTATGTATAGCAAAGCAAATGGCTTTTATTTAGAAAGAAAAAGCTTGAAATGTACTACTACGCAGTGGAAGAAAGGTACAGGACATCTGATGTGCTGTAAATCTCCTGCATCCATAGCCCATATTTATCTCTGATTAGTCAGACCATGAACTGCATTTTTCTTCCCTATTGAGTAGGAACCAGTTTATTGGCATGTCGACCCAATTCAAGCCATGCAGCATAGGATACCCATAACTCAAACCCATTATATTTCAGGACTAAAGTGGCTTGAAGCCTCAATGGATGCAGCAAGTAATCTTTTCAAAAAGCCATTTATGCTGGCACCAAGCAATGCAGAATCTTGTTATCTTGGACATCAATATACTACTTATAGTTTCCAGTGGATGACTCCAAATGTTTGTGTTTTGAGTGTGAATAATTTGTCACTGCTACAATAATTTCATTAAGCACTGAAATTGCTTAATGCTTAGCCTTTCCTGAAAGCGGAAGCAGCATGATACCATCCTTCCTGCTTGCTCTGCAGCAAAGGTCATGCTCCACTGTCCATGGATGCTGACTGAGGCAGTGATGGCTGTAAGCAGCAGTTCCATAAGCCATGTTTTTATGAATCTCTGTGTCTCAGTGCCAATTCTCCTGTCCTTACCAGCGGTAAAGGAATCAGGTAAGTATTGCCACACCACTTCCTTTGTGAGATGGTTCAATTCCAGATTATATTTATCTCCCGGTACCATTGCTAACTCCACTGTGGGCCCAGAAAGACTGACACTGGGACTCACAAACCTCCTTGCTCATTGCAGACTTCAGCTCTGCAAGTGAGAGTATAAAGTGATTAATCTGTTAACACAAGGAAATACATTCTGAGGTCTGGCTGTAATTCACACTCAAAGGGGGTGGGGTGGGAATCTACGTTGTCAAAATTATTAATAACTGCTTGAATCAGTAAGGAGGCCTTGTGGGCCCACCACACTGTTCAGATTTAATACTCCACATTCCAAGGCTTACTTGGAACAAAAACAATTTCCAAATGCAGTTCCTTCTCCCCTCCCACATTGGTCCACATTATAAGAGCCTACATTATGATGAATAGAAGAGGGCAGGCGAGAAGTAGGATTGCAGGTGCTTTCCTTGTTGAGTTAAATGTTTCCATAAAGCCCACATCATCTCTACACCAGCAAGGCACTCTCAGTATAGTGAAAGAACAGGATTTCCCATGATGTAGAAAGGTTCATATGCACCCAGGCTGTATGCAAAGGTCCAGGTGAACACGGGGAGGCTAGGAGCAGAAGCAGCCTGCATGAACACTTTCCCCGCTCCACCCCATTCACTGCAATGTATGATCAAGTGAAAGGGTGCACCAATAATTTGTTTGCTGTGTGGTCAGTCAATTTTGGCATGTCTCATGCCATGCCCAAGCCAGCAGATACTTCAGCATCTGAAATCAACCCAGACCCCACCTAGGCTGGTAGTAACATGTGCTTGGCTTTAGCTCTAGAAAAAAAAGGATGGCAGGGATAAAACAAAACACAATTTCTCATTCACGATTGCTGTTCTAGAGTTTATATGTCCAGGACAAGATTAAAACCTGTCAGATAATAAAATAGGACTAAAGAGTAGAAAATTCTTTGCTTTAGAACAGGAAACCTGTCGTTTGAGATCTCCAGGAGTAATGGCCAATCCTCACTGCACTTCACCCTCTGGTTTGAGTGGATGATGAATATAGCACTGCAATGTCATCTCTTTCACCCAGCCTCTTTTGCCCGGATACCCACTCCATGTTCCAACCATGAGTCTTGCTGCCTGCTGAAGGCTCTGCTATGTTGACACACCCTGTTGACACTTAGCATCTGATTTCCTTGCCCAAGTCCTTCCCTATGGTCCTTTAACATTATTGGAATAGTTTCCCTGGCCTTGGCATTCAGATTATGACTGTCACTGGTACTGTCCCATTAGTGCTCCAGCCCTAGTCACACATTACAGTGAACAGGTGCATGGAAACCCTCCCTGTGTTCAGCCCTTTTACTCCACTGTGTTTATAGCCTGGCATCTTGGCACCCATCTGATCATCAGCATGCCTCACCTCAATGAGTTTGCTTCCTGATTTCACCACCCATATTCCTCAACAGCTGTCTGTCTGTAGCTTTATGCTGGAAAGGATTAACAAATGGTCCATGGGAGTAGCAGGCTTGTGATGTGCTTTCAGGTCAAAGAAAGCACAGGCTAACTGTATGTTTTGTTCTTCTGTTCAGGTTTATATCACAAATGTGCAGAGTCTTCATTACCTAAAGTCTGATTATCCAAACCTGGCAGTTCAGTTTATCTACATATCTCATTATTCAAATGCTTTTAGATGCAGTCCCCCCAACACATATACACATCACACGGATAAAGCACACAGGACCCAATCCCTCTTCAGTGAAACTGGAGCAGTGGGGGGGGGGGAGGCCATATTCCCCTATCAACTCAGCCCATATCCCCTTCTGCCTTGACTCATTCTGTCTCTTTCCAAGTGGAAAGCTCTGCAGTTGTTGTTTTTTTTAATTTTTCCAGCTTATCTCATATTTGGCACCTGTTCTGCCTGCACAAAATTGGACTGAGTATACCCCCCTCCCCTCCCCTCTCCAAACCACACACACAACCCTCCGGTATTAGTATCTCAGGGCTGGAGGCTCTTTCCTGTTTAAAACTATATCAACACACATAATCTAGCCCAAATGTGTCAGCTGGTTTTAAGGAAATGTTTCCCCAACAGCTTTTATTCTCTCAAACTGCTGAGCTGCTCAGGGAATTGGAAAGGATTACTCACTGTTTATCCACAAGGCTTTTTGCCTGGTCCTTATTTTTTGGGGAAAAGTTGTTGTGCTTATTGTCTTTTAGAATCTGTTTAAAGCCCTGGCTATAATTAAGCAATCACGAGTGAGCTGCAAGACAGAGCCCAATAAGG